ATACTAGACAAACAATCTAAAAAGGTAGAATATGGATGGGGTATAGCTGAGAGTAAGAAATAGCGTGAAAGACTGACTAGAAGAAACGCCCCAGGGTAGGTAATGTTGGTAGCGCCTAATATCTGTATGCAAAAGGGATGATCAGAAGATCGGCCCGAGACGGGATATTAGTGTGAACTAAAAAATAGAGTGATATTAAATTCACTGAGAATAAGTTACTCTAGTTGCCTGAACGCAGTGACGGTTAAAAGCGAAAAGGAATGGGGCAGAAAATATTAAAGGACCAACTCCTAAAAGAAATGCCTGTCCTGGAATCTGTTGCAGTAAAAAGAAGACGAAATATAATAAAGACGGCTGTTATATAGGTGGGAAGTAATCTATTTTAATGATCTAGCAAAATTAGGAATCAAAAATAATTTAAATTATCGGAAGGAAAATTGATGCAAAATGACGGAAAGTTCCTTCAGGAGAAGCTCATACAGTGACTCATTTAAACAAAGACAGCAAAGTAAAGGTCGGACTAATTTAAAAAATAATTTTAAACAACCAGAAAATCCAGTGACTATGAAAATTAAAGACAATAAAATGTATGAAAAAGTCCCCGTCTCCATTTGTTTTAATGCACTAATGGATCCAGGGCTATGTCCCCAGCCAAATAACGAAAACGCCACTAAGTTTTGAACCATCCAGGCTATTCAAATGCTTTAAGCACCAGTGGATTGAGCTTTCAAATCCCTACAATATGAGTACAAACCCAACGCTACGGGCTAGAAAAAAGAGCTAGAAACCAATACAAATACAAAAAGCTACTATTTTTAGTAATGAAACTAGTTAAGTGCTAACATCTCTATAAAAAGCGGTCATTATAGGCTCAATCGATGCAGAATGCAATTCTACAGATAGGAAAAATACCGACCGTGACATATCTAGCATATTTACCATTTACCCTGGTGCGGAATATGAGAAACTAAGAGATGTACTATTAATACAAGAATAAAAATGCACCTACGACTCACACAGAGAAAACAATCACACCATTATATAGAGCTAACAAAACTGAATAAGAACGAGAGAAAAGTGAGAAAAAACTCCCTGAACCCTAGGTGTTACGCACTCTAGTTAAACCGACCGTTCATTTCAATGGAGTCTGGTTTTCCACGCCTTCTGACGAATCCATAAAACAATAATGCAATGTTTCTGCAGTATCCGACGCGGCGCACAAAGACGAATAAAACGGTATATAGATATCCGTGGTCGACCGTCGATGCACAGAAAAAATTCAAATCGGACGGAGCTCTGAAAAATGCTGCCGTATCAATGGTCAATGGTGTAGCAATAGTCAACCCAAAATTTACTGCATTTCAACGTCAGTAAATACAAGGTACTTTCCATCCGACATGAGAGTATCTACTCATACCGGCTCGGAACGAATATACTGTGACAATCAGCTGTCGAATGTGACTTGGTTGTCCAGGTTCATGATGACTTGGGTTGCTCCAAGCAAGCCTAAAAGGCCTGGAAGAGTTGGAACCAACCCTTCGGGCTGTTGCGACGGGCCTTTGGACAAATAAACAGTTCCATATTTCGACAATGTTGGGTGTGTGTGTTCGCCCCATGTCGAATACGCAATTCAATCCTGGCATCTATGGCTGAAACACGAGCTTAATGTACTGGAGCAGCCACAACATTGGGCATCTAAGAAAGGAATTCCAATGCGCAGTCTTACATACCAGGAGGAGCTGCAAATATTGGTGGTATTCAATGGAAACTATCGCAGACTACGAGGAGACCTGATTATGGCATACTTGATTCTGCGAGACCCACATCATGTGCGACTCAGCACCAATACAACAATGAGGAACCACTCATTGAAACTCGCTGTACAATATAGCCGCCAGGAGTGCAGCAGAGATTTCTTTTCCATTCATGCTTGTCATTCGTGGAATGCTCTTCCAGAATCGGTCCTCTATGCACCGACACTTCCAGTTGTATGACGCAGGTTGTATGACGCACTCATCCACTTACACTTTGTCACGGCGCTACGTCTCTATCCTATATCTGGAGTTTATTATGGATTTATTTGATGTTTACTGAGGGTGCTGTGAATCTAAGCGCATGGCATGACTACAGTGCTAACTGTTTTACCATCATTATTATCATTATCGTTATTTCGACATGCCCACCAACTATCCAAAGCGACTTGTATAGCAACGCTTCTTAACGCGTGCAAACTCATTGTTCATTGTAAATATCGAGCAAACCATTAAGCATGGTCGCTAGCTAGGTGGTCAATCGCGGATGAGTGACATGAACAGGACCATTTTATTTCAGGGAGCCGAGACTGCATATCTTCCAATCGGTTATACGCATACTTTTTCAGGGACACTGTGATTGGTCGAATATGTATTCATCTAAGTGATTTTCTATCGGTTTCTAATTTTGCTCTCTAAGTGCATTTGCCTAATGAGATATATCGAAAAGAACGTTGTTCGCGCAATTTTGATCTCCTGAATCATAAATTTGTTTCCAGATTATTACAATGTGATAATGATATTCTCAGTTCAGATAGAGGGAGCGTGTTTATCATGAAAATTACAACCAATAGCTAGTTCATTTGTTTGAACTGCGGACTAAAATCAGCTGCAGGCATCCAAATGTAACATTTTGCCATGGAGCTGTTTCTGGTTCTCAGATGTTACTCACTTTCACAGTGCAGTAATATGTACTTCTGTTCCGGTCAGTATAACGAAGCTTTTTCAAACGGTTAGCCGTCTTGGGCCCATGTCCAATTAACACACACTGAGATCTAACCGGTAAAGATAACGACAGGTTTCTGTCCGTAATACACCATTTTGTATTTCTATAGAATAGATTGTGATAACTGCTTGTCTCCTTGCACATCGCCATTCTTGAGAATTGTGGACACTAACTTCAGTCGTACGCGTACGACTATTACACAGGCAGCTAGTAAGTAACGACTATTAGAGACCTATCCCAGTCCTGTAAACAAGAACCAACTGAAGTGTTACTGTGTCCATTGCTATGCAAGTCCTTGCACTATAGGGAAGGGTAATTTAGTACTTCTGTGCATGAATTACACGTGATTTGTTGATCTAAAGATTTTACCCAACAATATAATCATAGCAGTATAGCAACTAGTTAGAATTTCTTATTTACTGATACTTTTCCTTTGCAATCCTGACAGTCGCAAGTTTCCTGGACTTACTAGGAAACACTGTGGTAAAAATGTGCATATTTGAAACCACCTTATATAAGAAAAGCGATTCATGGCTTAACCTTATCGAATTTGTGGATCGCTAAATAGCAGAGACTCCAGCATTAGAGTGGCATCTACTGGCGCTTGTCTTGGCGTAAAGTAAACGAGTAGTATTTCTGAAGCCAGAATCGGTGAGATGAATATCGCATTATGACGCCACTTTGAAGCAAGATGATTAAGTTACCATCAAAATACTTTGTTTCCAACGAAACTGTTGTTATAGTTCACCACATCATACAGACAATTAGAGCACTGTTGTGCCAAGACCAAAGCAGAAAACGAAGCTGTGTAGTAAGACGGTTATTCAGGTAAACGGCAAACAACCCTGTACACCAAAAAGGGAGTGCAAGGCACTCAAAGTCACGGGAACACAGAATAAAAGTACCAATTAATAGTTACAGGAGACGGCCAATCGCCGTAATAAATACACACAGACAGGAAGGCACACAAGCGGTGAGTGTGTGGCAAGGCGTATCAAACATCAATAGCGTTTACTTCAAGTGAAGGCAAATCAAGACTTTGTTTTTATACACCCAGGAAGGGTGAATTTTCAGCTTGACCTCAAGCGTCCCGTGTCCGTTTTTACCAAGGTAACGCACGAACATGACATTCAGTTCCACTGTGTCCATTGTGATGCGACCCTAAATGAAGAGCTGATTTATGTGAAATGAACTTGCCCTCGGTGTCAAACAAGAAACGATGCTGTTCCCCCATCTTCGGAAGGAAAACTCCAACTACTGCGCATTGAATCGCAATTACGGCTAAGAGCAAAAAAGCGAATATTGCAAGCCAGACAAAATAATTGCAGCAATGCAATATTATATGCGCGTAAAGCTATGGGTTTGTGAAACATGGGAAAAGCAACTGAAATGGACGCGTGTTAGAATTGAGAATGTTGCCAATTATCGCAACAGCTTAACAGACGAAGTGAGTTTGGAAAAAGATGGTTTTGATGGCTTAGTATGGTGTTCGTCCGTTAGGAAACTACATTTGGGCTGCAAAATCCTACTCAATTCGCTCAAATATCCTGTGGAGGGGAATATTATATTCCTCACGAGTGGCTGATTCTAGCCACACAGGGGCCAGAAAAAATGTGTACATCTGCTCAATACAGAAAGAATGTAAGGACCGTGTAGTGCTTTTCCGGACATGGGATGGCCGTCTAATTAAGTCTAGGTGTGTTGTACTTCTGTCTAATTCATGGTGCATTCGTCTGTCAGGATGCACTTGGGAAACAATCTTGATTTCACCACAATGCTCTTGATGCTTACGGTTTACTAAAATTCTTGCCTGCCGCAGAATTAATGGTAACATTTGGAAGAGGTACGCATGGCATTCTGCGTACTTACATTGAGGAGTGGCATCTTCCGGTTAAGAATTTACCCACTCAACATAGACAGCAAATTGCGTCATGCCCAAGTAGCAGGAGATGGCTTAATGTAACTTAGAGAACACCGCGGTTTCATTCCCCTGGAAGCATTGTCGTACGATTGCTTATTGATATACGACGTCTACTATTTCTAAACTGATTAGATGAGGGTGACCTCGAAGGGACCTAGAGAGTCGTGACTGAGGCAATCGCGCAGCATACTTCTGCCGTCTTTATGCTGGTTGAGTACGTCTTTGGTGATCCTGCTATTTTATAAACATTATGTCGTCACATGTCGCCACTTCATCTCCTACGTTTCCGAGAGACTTTCTTATCACTTTCCATTGTGTGCAGTCCGAGTGTGGGGGCTCTTTGGAAGAGCGGCTTCGTAGCGAAAAGCCTCCAGCTAGTTGGAGCAGGCTGATGCATACCATGTGTGGCCGAATGAAAGTAGAAACGGAAACGATAGCGAACGCCGGATTCCCTGACTCCTTTCGAGACTTGTTGATGGAACAAAGTAAGTGCTCTGAAATTCCAACCTTAAAGTGAATTCACTTAAGATGCGCGTTTGTAAGGGAGATACTAGTGTACATCATATTCAGCTTGATAATCCATTCATGACATTTAGCTACCGCAATGCTGAGCAATACTAACCATACATCAGAACAGTAAAGATAAAGCTAATAAAGTGCTATTTTTCAGTAATCTATTTGTCGCTGTACATGAGAGGGTAGGCGCCATATTTTTGTGTTCAATGCACCATATTGGGGGGATAGAACCAAACAGTAGACCAACAGTTCAACTGGAGGCATGGTTTACCAAAAAGATCTTATTGCAGGGAGCAGATCACCATGGCCAAGGTTACACCAACGAATGAGTATGAGTAGGCGAGTAAAATCCAATGAAGAGTAACGCAAGCGGAGTTATATAGGATTTGAGTCAGGAGCGGTTGCAGTTCATTGATTTATTTAAACGACTACAGTTATATCAATTGCAGAATGCAGCATGGATCATTTAGCTACATCATAAAACCAAGCATTTCAAAATGACTTCACTGTCGCATCATTAAAAACGGCATGCTAACGTGGATTCATTGCAATTGAATAAGAGCCATTCATAAATCCTTCTCTCCGGCTCTATGCTATAATGCTGAGCATAGTGATTACAGCGCGCGCTGCTACTCTCTTACTTTCTGTGCTTGCCCGCATACATAAAAGAATAGAAAATTAAGAACTGTAGGTGTATATGGTAGTACATATACATATGTTTGGTGTGCTGTCATTAGGACACCTTTGGCAATCTGACATGGACAGAAATGTAAGAGAAATCCTTGTAACTCGATGTGTTGACGTTAGTAACGAACATTATTTGCTACAACTCATGTTAAATGCGTGAGCGTAGGCAAGGTTTCTTGTCTCATTTGTCAACCATTTACATGTTTTCACGTTTAAATTTCTCCTACAGTTAGTGTTTGTGGAGCAGCCGGATTTTTGGAGCTGAGCAAACCGGAATGGCTGGACGTCATCATAAGCTGGCAGGCAAGCAATGGTTGCTACCACAAATTCAAAGAAGAAGTCATTCCGCCAGAGAATTTTGACCCCAAGCAATATGGCAATTACCGGCGGCGAAAGAAAAGATCTGAGATCCCAATGTCAGGCGGAGGTGAAGCTTGTTTAGCGCATCGCACATCAGTTGCCATAGCAGCACTTACTTCATACACAACCTTGTTCATAGAAGCCGCATACGGACTTGGTCGCACTTTGATATCTTGAACCTGTTCAACTGCTCTGCCTGTCAATTATAAAGCTTTCCAGATCATGAAGCACAGTAGAATTTCTCACATTTTGTGGTAGATGTAATTATTTATGCAGTTATGCACACAGCCAACAGCGCGTCGGACGGTCATACCATCTTATCGGAAGTAGCAAGTGGTGTGCATACACACCTATTTTTCCTGAATCTCTAGTCAGAGACTGCACAGATTGTGTTTAGCACCCTGTTACATTAGGCTATGTCTGACAATTTTATCAAATTGATATCTGTTAGCGATGAAGAATTTGAAGCAAGATTGAAACAAGTTAAAATGCCTCAGTTGTAAAATGTTAAGCTACAGGTATGGCCGATTGTTTGCTTCTGTCGTGTTTTCGCTGGCTGATTCTGTAGAAGCATGAAGTTTGCCTATTAATAGTTGTTTCAGAATCAAGAGTTGCACAGTGGATTCAGTAAACCCCTTCATCTACTTCATCAGTAACAATTGGAAACCGAGCTAGTTGTTGAGTGTCCGACACAGCGCAGCATACGCTCCAGCTGAAAACGCGCGCCGAAAGGCTTTAGAAATTGAGAAATAAGAGATAACACTTGTGTTTCATCCAAAACTGGAAGGTTGCAAAACTCAATAGCCATCTACTTCGTTAGATCATGTATTTTAATACCACTCCTTTTGGGATCACGATGGAGTTATAAATAGTTGCTCAGTTTCTCTCGCCTGGTAAATAGTCTGCTGTATATCTTCTTCTGAGGTTTGTAGGAAGGAACGTGCTGAATGTAAAGAAACGCTAGAGTATTTCACGACCGCGGTTCACCTGCATTAGCCGTGTCCAAACTTTTCGCAAGGCGGGCCACCTTTATGAGGTAAAAAGATGGCAGCCATATTCAGTCAGGATGTCCTTAATTGTCTTATAATCTATTTAATATCATCTGTACAGAAAAACTCTAAGCTTGAATACATTATTTCATGACGAGGCCGCGGGCCATTTGGAATGTTAACGCGGGCCTCAATTGGCCCCCGAGCCGGAGTTTGGACACCGCTGATCTACATCGTAGGCTCCTTTCTGGCATTATAGCCCAACTGGAACACTTCATCCGTTTATCCAGTATTTTCTAACTCTCGTCTATTGATATATCCGAAATTGCGAAATACTAAAGTGTCTAAAATAAGTCCAAATATTGGCACATGTATCGAGTGCTCCGTTGTTCCGGTGTTTTCCGAGCAATTCACTCGCAAACGCTTCGTCACTCGTCAAGGTGATACCACCATTGCGGTGAAGTAAGAGGTCGTGGAACAGGAGTTGGTGGAACGCTAATCCGCGTGTAGATGTTGAAATGTTTACTTGTTCGGCAAGCTTGGCGATTCGTTTGCACGTGTTTCGCCACTAATGGTAGTAAATTATTATTATTATTAGGTTCACGCGCCACACACAGCATTGAGACAAATCTATTACAAATGTACACTAGCGTTTTCACCTCGGTTAAAGAATAGATGTTTGCAAGCAAGTCGTCAAATTCAAGGAATAAGTCAAACTTTAGCTCAGATATTATTTTTTACACCGAATGTCGAAATAACCCTCTAAGAATCAAACCAAAGACTGGGCAATGATCCACGTCGTTTATTAAAGAACCAGTGCCACCAACTAGTGTACACCAAGGCTAATTATCATTCACTGAAATGTATCTTCTATAACTGCATCCTTCCGGCCATCTGCCTGCGGTTATTGGCTCGCGCTCATCCTTCATAAGCAGAACTTTGGGTCACTCCTGATCGGTCCACTTGGTCATTGCAAAGTTGAGCAGGTAGTGGAAATATTTCGGTGTTTCTCTTCCCAACCCTGGCACACCACGACCACAATTTCGTACTGGTTTAGACTCATCAGGTGGAGATAACCTGAGCCGGTTGTTATATCGGCGGAGTTACATGTGCTGGTTCCGTCTGTTTTGCTAGCTCGCCTCTCATCACACGATGCGCCGTCCGACTCGAATCAGTGTCGCGTCTCTACAACTCAGTTGCCGTAGATTTGGATAAAAGGTGTGCCTGAATCACAGCGACACAACCGAATCATCCCTTGCTCACTCGGCTCGTGTAAACGTGGTCAACTTTATTCATGTTACTGATTGGTTTTTCAGTCCACTGGCAGCGGATTGATTTAGTTCATTTGACTTGCCGTCTACTAACACATCGAACACCTGAGGAAGATAATAAATTTTACATAAATGATATATTATCGCCAGTGCGAAACACATCTGAATAGGCATGATAATGGAAAATCACATGAAAGAGTTGCACATGTACAGAAACTTTACAATTTTAATGATAAGCTTGAATCTATGTGGGTATGAATGAGAGCGGGAGAGCCTATGGTGCGCTGAGGCTGGTGGTGGCTAGATCCTGACAGATGGTCTACCCACTGCTGCTACTGTTGTGCCATTGGCTCATGTCCTGGACGCCTCCTCGTGCCGACCGCTGGGTGGGAGTTCGGTTTCGTCCTACTCTCTGCTAAGATCCAGGACACCAGTCCGCTTGAGTCAGTGAACTGACCAGGTGCTAGACCCGCTGCCATTCGGGTGTTCATGTAATCGAAGGCTTTGGCTGAGGACCCGAGTCCTTCTCATGTCATGTGAGAGCACCCTGCCAGTATCCTAGTTGATCCTCTTCGGAGATAACGAAATGGTCGATGGCCCTCTTCCCGTAAAACCTAGCCATGGGAGACTACAGGTACAGCTCGATTGGCGTAGAGCACGAGTTCCACGCATGGTCTCCGGCGGTGGGAGAGCATCTCCGGGTGTTCAATGGTTTGCTACTGCCCGCCTCAAGTCAGGCAGCCCCTGGTCAAATTGGTGCAAAACCGTCAAAACCCACCTGCGTCTGGCGGTGATCGCAGGTGCGTATCCTACTACGGTCGCAAAACACATATGAGTCGTTCCAGTACCTCCAAGACTGCGTGTGATGGCCGTCAAGCAGATCCCAATCTGTCTCTGCAATCACATTCCCGAGCTGGATCTGCTCCCCACTGCCTTGTGGGTCAGGTTATTGAGCCAAAGTATTCGGGCGCAGACCCTCAAGCAAACCTGCAAACCACCCACTGCTTTGTGGGTCAGGCTACTGAGCCAAAAGCTCCGGGTGGAGACCCTCAACCAAACCTCCGAAACACAACGACCACCTCGCGTGCGATTACACACCAATGCAATCGTATGCCTGCGCGCAAAGCACTCAGCATCGGGTGCTGGAACGTGCGCACACTAATGGACCGGAACTCCAGTGAGCGCCCCGAGCGACGCACTGCACTGGTCGCGATGGAGCTGGCGCGTTACCACATCGATATTGCGGCGCTCAGTGAAAGTCGGCGCGCTGGGCAAGGTAAGTTGCTGCTGCTGGCTAAACATTCTACTGGGTGGGCAACGCCGCCTCAGCACCACGTGATCATGGGGTCGGAGTTGCAATATCCGATCGCCTCCATGGCCAGCTGGTGGGTGAACCAACAGGCACCATCGCGCGACTGATGACTGTTCGCCTACGACTCAGGAGAGGTAAGTTTGCCACGTTTATCCTGATGACAAGCGTGATCAATTCTACACTCAGCTATCCTCCATGATACGGTCTGTGCCGAGGAGCGACCGACTATTTCTGCTGGGTGATTTCAACACGCGCGTTGGGCGTGACGCATCGGTGTGGACAGATTTTATCGCTTCGCATGGCATTGGTTCAGCGAATGCGAACGGTGACAGGCTGCTCTCACTGTGTGCCACTTATGGCCTGACCATCACAAACACTCGGTTTGCACTGAGTGCGAGTGATATGGCAATTTGGACGCACCCACGGAGTGGTCACGCTCACCTGCTCAACTATGTCATCGTATGTCAGCGTGATATGCGTGAAGTGCGCATGACAAGTGTACTGCGTGGAGCTGAGTGTGGCACTGATCACAAATTGGTGCGGACCAAACTGTACATATATTTTCGTAAATCTATGTATTACACTTCCACGGTGAATCGGCGTAAATTTAGCATTCTCTCCTTCGGTACTGTGGCGGAACCTACTGAGCTAGAGAAGACGCTGGCTGCACGCAATGTGTGATGTGGACTGCATAGCCACGGTGGGCGACCTGTGGCACCACATTCGCGATCAGGTGACAGCTGCTGCCGAGAAGAACATCAGGCGCGTAAACCGTAAGCGGCCTGATTGGTTTGATGACAACAATGGTGTCGGAGAAGAATGCAGCGTTTGCTGCACATGTCGCAGACCCCAGTGACTTGGGGAAGAGTAGTCAGTTTCGCAAACTTCGACGGCGACTGACTCGAGAGCTCCGTCGCATAAAAAATGCATGGTGGAGAGAAGGCGAAGCAGATGGAATGCTACGCCGAACGCCGCCAACACAAGAAATTTGTTGGCTACTTGAAGGCGGTGTATGGACCGAGATTGGAGTCGTTGAGGACGCTGATCGATGGTAGTTCAGGCGCTACCTGCACACAGACTGCAGACATCATGCAGATCTGGTGGAAACATTTTGACTGTCTTTTGAACAACCGTCCGGAGATCGACTGGATATATTGAACTGCGTCAAGCAGCACGATGTGAAGTTGAATCTGGTGGACACACCGACACTGGATGAGACGCAGGGAGCACATTCTCTGCTGCGAAACGGCAAGTGTGCCGGGGCTGACGGGATCCCGCCTGAAATATTAAAACACGGTGGACCCGCGTTGGTGACTGCGCTGCACCACTTGGTGCAACGCATATGGATTGAGGAGGAGGTGCCTCCTGAGCTGAAGGATGCCTCTGTGCTGCCACCGTACATGGGCAAAGGTAGCAAGCAATGTTGTACGAGTTATCGTGGCATCAACTTGCTGAGTTGTGTGGGCAATGTGATTGCCCGAATTCTGCTCAACCGCCTCGTCAGTCAGGTTGTGGAACCTAACGTGGCGGAAGAGCAGTGTGGATTGCGATTGGGTCGCAGCACTATAGCTATGATGTTTGCGGCTCGTCAGTTGTAAGAGAGGTGCAGAGAACGACACCAGCCATTTACTCGCCTTTTGTTGATTT